TGGCTGGCATATTGGGACGAGTCTGGCGGTCTGCTACCTACCATTCATGCATTTGAGAAGCTGGTGATGTTTAGAGGAGAGGAAGAGGTGTTGCGCTTATCCACGTCCCTTCCGTTACGTATGAAGCGTTACGCTGACACGTTTCAAGCCATGCTGTACAAGAAAAAGCCAGACATGCGACCAAGATTGATCGACATGTGGATAGAGTCGGGAACGACCCCTGTGGAAGCCCTTGACTTGTTGTCTATTACGAGGGGTTTTATAGGATGGATCGAAGACAAGAAGCTGAAAGCTGCCTTTAAGGTTATGGAGTGGACTCGTTTTTATGACAAGTTCATGGCTCATTCTCTCCTATTTTCTCGCGACGAGGCCAAGACCAAGCTGCGATACGAGTTGAGGGAAGCTGTCCGTTCGGTGCCGAGGCACGGTGCTACAGCTGCGCAGGAGAAGGAAAAGGAGGAGGCGATGAAGAAGTTGCTGGAGGACAAAGCCATAAGCATGTTGATGAAGGTCACACCTCTGGATTCGATGTCGAAGGACAACGCCCTTGTGACGCTGCTACGGGACGAGTCTACGGCTAAGATAATGATGGAACAAGCTATTAACTACTATCTGAAAAAGAACTCTTGGTCCAGCGAACGGGTATGGAGGTTATATTCGATCCGGAAAGGTGACGCAGCTTGAGTCGAGCTCCAAGCAGTGGCTGCGATATGTGGAGCTCCATAGTGATCGAGTGCGCGAATTAAGGAACAGTGACGTGGCTCGCGTGCTGGAAGAGAAATGCAGAGTTGCTGTGGAAGGATCTTCGAGAAGACGCTAGATGGAAGGGGCTTGTAGACGAACTAGCACTTTGAGCAGCAACGGTAAACACGTTGTAAATACAACATCAAGTGAAGCCCTGATCAACGTTTCTGCTCACTCCTTTCTCTTATGCGCTCACCACTACAGAGTAGACACAACGCACAGTAAGCAAACAACGGCATGCAAGGCACAGCAAGCAACGAACGGCAAGACGTGGACTTTGCATATACGTCCTTTCGACTGATCATGCCGATTGCAGATGAGCATGTCAGTCCTACGACCAAACGCAACGCTACGCCGGTATCGTATGGTAAGCTCCAGCAAGCTCACCAGATATGTCCGCCTCAGGTCCATCTTGCTCTGCATCGTCCATTTTGCCTTTCGGCCTTCACCGGGCAAGAGCCTCAAGGTATCGCGCTTGCCACTCGCACGGTACACACCAAGCAACAACAAAGCTCAATGCGCCAGGACGTTGGCGTTTTAGCAAAGAGCTCCTTCACATTCGGATGCGATCGGATACACACAGCAAAAGTGCTTCACTCGAACGAACAGCCTGCGCTCCATGATCGAGACTCCAACGTCGACAGTAGCCTTCTGGGGCGTCATAATGCATTAGTGCCAATTGCATAGGTTCGATCGACATTACCGAATGACATGCGAGGACCGCGCCCAACCCGTGTGTAAACAAAGGGTTTTGCTGGACAAACATCTCGAGATGACACCCTAGTTGCAGTTCCAAGTCATCGCATCTTCGTTCTTGTTTCCGTCTCGCTCGTCTCTTGCAGTGGCTTTGCCGCTATTCGTGCTGGAATGCGCAACTGGCTCGAGAGTAGGAGACTCACCAAAGTGCGCTGCTGCTGCGATTCAGTCTCAGCCTCTGAAGCAATATCGATCATAGGCGTCTCCCGCGGGGTCTGCAGTCTGGAGAGTATATCGGATCCATACAATTGGTAGCAAACCGCACAGCTTTGCCGATAAGGCCAGTGAATAGCTTGACCAGACCAAACTCGGGTGCCATTTCCTGTGACTTCTCGCGCAGCTTCTGCTTCATTGCTGAATACTCATATGAAGCATTAGCGCCTGAAAATACACGTTTGTCCTGCACGGATGAATGGCTTCATTCGCGACTCAGTCGCAAGGGAAGCCATCCGTGCAAGACAAACGTGTAGGTTATCGTGCCTGCCGTCTCATTACCGATGTTCTTGACGCATTCCGCGCAACGACACGGTGTGCTCGGTCATGATAGAGGCTCATCTGCATTGACACGCAGCTCACGAGAAGTATAACAACCTGATAACCCGGTCGCTTTTTGATCTAGCCAACACAAAAGACCACACACGAGTGACAGTGGAGATGAGGGTATGCGCCAGAACCACGAAAACGTTCACAAACCTTGAGCTCGTCGGGACAGCAATCCGCCGAGTAAAGAAAATGATGTACGAACGATCGTCGTATCGCCTTGCCTTACTATCTCCGCTTGTCAATACTGAGCGGGCATCCATATCGTAAAGGTGAATGACCCGAACAGATATCGCGCCTACATTTTGAACGGGAGGGATCGTCCAGCAACGACTTTGCAGTGCGTGCGCCGACGTCACAAATGGAACTTGCGTGCATTGATAGATTGCAGAGCAACAGTTCCGTCCACACAATTGTCAGCAAAACACCACCGAGGCGTTTGTTGTGTCCACAAACGTAGCGGTATGCCGTTGTTTCCTGCGCGGAGACCAGCAATCCTTCGAATGCCAAACACCGCTCCATCAGTTCAAGCACAGTATGAACTAATCGCGGTATACGTTGGCCACTTTTCGCACGGATTTATCAATAATGTGCCCAAGCTATGAGCTGCACAATCAGTCTACACTTGTTTGCGCTAGACGGAAGGCTTCAAAGTAAATCATGATGTCATTGCTCGAGCTCTATTGCTACGACAGACGCCTCAGCAGCTAACCCATGTCTCAAGAACGTTTTGCCGAGCGACGGCTAGCGAGAAATACGGTGGCCGAACTGCCTTGTAGGGGCCTCCGAGTACATGCAAAAGCTTCAGGACACACAACTGCTACGACATGAGGTGGATGACTGAGTTACCACGAAGTGTTATCTTTGGTAAATGCACAAAACAATCGGCCGACGACATAGCAGTGACCATACAGAGAAGGGTTCGTGAGTTCGCGAGTTCGCGCACCAGGAAGACACCTTCAGCGAATAGAGATGACTGAATCGAAATGGTCGATTGCAACAGCAATACTTGCGGCAACCTGCACGATGCGCTGACACAGCTGTTGCGTAAGTGTCAGCAGCCACTGATGATAGAATTGTGGCGAGTGTACCGATTGATTCAGCGTACACGGGGCTGCATTACAGCTGGTAAGCAGCACGTCAGCAGTATGATGTTCTTTTGACGCAGTGGTTGATTGTTCATTGATGACCAATTGCCCATCCAGCCCAGTTCACCGCACAAATCACCGTCGTTCACTGGTTCTCCTCGAGACTTGTCGATAAACCTTCACGTCCCAGTTTGGACTGCTTCACATCACGAAACAGCGTCTACACATTCGAGATAGTGCACCCGTTTCACATCAACCAGGCTGCAGTCCAATGCAGATGCAGCGCACCACGTGTGCATAGATTAATGCTGCGAGGATAAGTACCCAATACAACCAGCTTCTACTACAGTAGCCGTGCTAATCGCCCATCTTTCGACGAGAATCCAAACGGCGGCACGATAGGTCCAACAATCTCTTCGGGCCCGACACGCAGCCGTGTTGCCCAGGTCAACAAACACAGCAGCATCGTACAGTTTGCGCCCCACGTCACTTCTCGAGGCGCCGACGAAAGCCATTGTGCTGGTCGTGACTGCATCCTCCACGGGCTTCGCGTCTTCAATATGGCACTATAGCCGATCAGTGAACCAACTTCCACGACCTTCTTACGAGCCAAACCCGTCTTGAGCTGCGCCACACGTTCCACGACACTTGACAGCAAATTCGTTGTAATGCTTTCATGAACAACGATGCGATCACTACCTCACACGCACATCTGGCTCGAACTGAAAAGACTGGAGGGTGCTAAGCCACTTATAGCTTGCCAGGTGAGCAGCTACCATATTTGCAATGTTGAGACGATTAGTCACATTATATATGATCATTTGGTGAAAGGTATTTTTATTGAGGAGGCTATAATTGCTGCTTAACGGTAGTCGGAGGGATGATGATAGAAACTATTTGACATTTTTAATAACGATGCCAAAACCATGACAAATAATTCAATATAAGTTTAAGTAATCCTCTTTCGTGTTGATATTGGTACAAGAATTTAGAATTATACCATTTCAACAACATAAAGTATCACACAATATAAAGTGCAAAGAGGTGAAATTTATACTTTCGATTATATATATTAAAAAATAGAATACGATCAACGATTACAGTAGAGTCGAAAATATGCCGAAACCAGACATCGGCACTTGTGGCTCCTGCAGCGGTAATGAAGGGGGAGTTCTTGTGTGCAGAGCGAGGATTGAGTCCGCACCATGATGTGGACAGTACGAGACGAGACGGACAGTTGGGGAGCGAGGAAAGTGAGGAAAGTGAGGAGAGCGTGCAAAGGACCGGCTTGGGCTGGTGAAGAAAACTCGGGAGTAGAGTTATGTCAAAAGGCTGAAACGGAGCGGCTGCTTCGTGACTTTAGGTGCTACTTGGTCCCTGCGCGACGCTCGGCGTAAAGACCGTGACGACGGCGATAACGGGGACCAGGCGACGGAAATGGCCGACTCGACTCGAATTGACTGCAGTGACGAGGAAAGAGCTGTCGGAATTTGGCAGTTGCAGACGATGCAGGTGCTGGTGGATCGACATTGTTTCCTCCATTCTCGTTGCGTGCAACCTGCAGATCAGACAGAAAAGGTCAACTCGTGTTCGGCATCCGCTTTGAATCGACTTCGATGCCACGTTCTTGTCGTGCAGCTATGTTGATGTCACGACGGTCACCTGTCTGGGTGTCTCTTCCACATTTCGAAGGACGATAGCGGCTCCGGCAGTGGAATTCGCAAACATTGCGTGTCGTAGTAAAGGGTACGATATTGTTTTTACGCGCAGAACAAGGCACGATAAGAGATGGACCATGACCACGATACAGCTGCCTATGACGGACGTACCTCTGTCCTTTTCTGTTCATCGGACTTGCATTTGATCGTTGCTTCAGTGCAGTTGCGCGAGCTCTTCGATCCGCAATGACAGGTCCTCCACCGTTATTTGATTCGTGCCGTCCAGCATTCCTTCGTTGTTCAGTTTTTCCACCACTTTGGCCATCTCCGGCTTGGGCAAATCTAAAAGCTTTCCACCAAATCGCCATCAATGAAGTTTCGTGCTTCTGACACCGAGCGTCGGTTTTCAAACGTGCGCCAATCCTTGTGGGAGAACCCGCCAACGCCCTTCACGACCTGCGTCAGCGCTTGCTGAACGCGAAGCAGGAAAGTGTACTGATCTTTGCTGATCGGCAAAACCACGCCGATCATACCGCTGACAGTCCCAAGGAGCATGGATGGACTTTGAGCAGCAGCGACAACAAGAGTTGGAGTGCCCACGTCCACCATGTCAGAGCGACCGATACGGCCGCTAGTAGCGAGAGCCTGAGTCGATGCGGTGTTGTTTTGCATGACTAGTGATCCATATCTGAAGCGGTTTACGAACTCGCCCAGGTGGAACTCCCCGACCGTCTCCAAGCGCCCGCGCTCTTCGTCGGACGCTGCGCCACTGTTGCGTTGCACAACGAACAAATTAAAATCCGTCTCGCTGCCAATGTACGTATCATCATCGATAATGCCAACGGCGGACATCCAGTTTGAGTTCAGGTCCCTTGCGATTTCCTCAATTGTGCCATCGAGCTGTTTGTAGCTCAACAGAGATATCGATTTCATCAGATCGCCCACCACGATAAAATCACCCCGTGACTCCATATAAAGCACCAATGTGTGGCCGTAGTGACCACACTCCGAAACCAACTCCTTCTCGCAATCAGTGTTTTCACTCCACTTGTACAGCTGCGCCTTGCTATTGACACCCGCCAGCACCTTGCCGTTAAAGGCATTCAGGCAATAAACCGCACCCTTCACTTCTTTTTCGGCGACCAACTGCAGTTTCCGCTCTCCGTGAATGCCCACAACAGCAAACACCAAAATACGACCCTGATGCGGCTCAGCTTCTTCTTCGTGTACATAGGCAGTTCCAACTACAAAGTACGAGACACTCGTGGAATCGCCTGCAAAAGGGCAAACGACAACCGAACATGGAGTCTCAAACGGATCTAGTCGATACGAATGGAGCACCTCAAAAGTCTGGTCATCAAACAAGCGTACAAACCCCTGATCAACTTCTTCACCAGTATCGTCCACCGTAAAATTCACGGTGAGCACGCCGAGTGTGTGCGACTCTGCGTTGTGGGCGATTCGGCGAGCCCACTCATTGAGATGAAAAGTCTGGATATGTAGCTTCTGGATATCATCGACCATACCGATCATCAGTCCTTCTTCGGATGAAAGTGCGAGACATTCCGGGAAGGATTCCGAATCGAACGGGCACATCACGTTCACTTCCTTGGAGTTGATGTTGGAGTATAGAAGCTTGTTATTGTTGGAGTAGATGACAGTCGGGCGATCGCATGCTGCAAATACGTGCGTCATATTCTTTGATCGAAAGGTCGATAACGTAAGAGGCTGCGAGCCGAGTGAAACCCGCTTTCGCGTTCCCAGTGTTCCTTGCTCGACGTTTAGCTCGTAGTTTACAAGACTGCCGTCGCCCAGTCCAACAAGTAAGTAATCCTTTCCTTCAAACGTGTTGCAGAGCACCGATCGCGGAAGGAGGTCAGTTCCGAGCGAATCCGTCGTCAGTTTCTCGAGTACTGGCAATCTTAAGACGGACACCGAGAAATCGGTCCAAAGCCCGACGACACAAATTGAGCTACGAAGAGTAGCCATGTCCCAATGAGTTGACGGACCCGTCATGGAGACATCCCCTTCACTCGCACCACTGCGAGCAAGTGGCGAAATGTCTACGCATGCGATTTCGTGCTCCATCTTGACCTTGGTTTTTTCAAGGATTTGTCCGCTCTCAACCTCCAAATAAACAAGCACACCGCCCGATGTAGCAACCGCAACCTGGGTGGGATTAGCAGCCGCAACAGTGATTCGCATTTCTGTGGGCGGCGACCACGTCGAGTTTAGCGAAAGCGTACTGCAGCTGATAAGCCGCACTTCGGACTCGGTTACCTGAAGCCACATGTCGCCATGCATATTCCGGCAAAGCAAAGTCTTGACATTAGTGAACGCCGGAATCTCCCTCTCCTCCATCTCGTCTTCGTCGCCAATCGCTAGAATACGGATCTCGTTCACGTAACTCTGCAGTAAGTATTTGTCATACTCTCCAGCGAAGGTCTCGCGCAGCGACCACATGCCTTTGATACCAGGAAGCTCTGCGTTGGCTTGCTCGCTGATCCCGATTCCATTACGAATCACACGCAGCGTTCCATCCTTGTCAGCACCGCTGCAAGTAACAATTTGACCCTGGCCCTGGCGGTCGAGGTCCATGACGCAAAAATCAATGATTGGACCGACGTTGACGTACGTATCCAGGACTTCAACGTAAGAACCGTGCTCATCCCGGTCTGCATTAAGCTTAATCAGCTGCGAATCGCCGAACGTACTTCCAATGAACACGACACCGTTATCCAGGTACGACAAGCAGGACGCAATGCTCGTCTCTCCGAGCACCTCCAAATGCACGCCACTGACTTCCTTTTCTGTAAGTTGCAAGGCCACTACCGAGAGCGTTCCATACTGGTCTGCCAGCAAAAATCTCGATCCATCTTTATCGACTGCTCCGTAGACTTGAATCACTGTCGACTGCATAGGAATAGCGTGGAACGTGCTTCCACTGTGGTACACGATCGTCTGATTTGACACAATGAGCACTCCGCCTGTCGGAGCTGGTACTGGGATCAGCAACGTTGCACCCGACTCGACGTTCGCTTGACTCCACGGTCCTTCAGCAAAGTCTCTCTCTTTGAGTAAAATGTGGTACGTCTTCAAGTGTCGAGCAGCTTTATAGTCTTCATACAAGACACAGATCGTCGGTTTGTTGTACCCATGCAAGAACTTGATATCAATGACACGCAGCTCGTCGAGACGGATGTTGAACGTGTCTTTGAGAATGCCTTTGCCGCTGTCAATGGGGATGACCTTGAAGTAGCCTTCGTACAAATTCATCCCAATGAGACGTCCTTCCGGGTCAATGTTTCCACTGGTGACAATCTCACTACTGCGACCGATCGAGTCTCGAATGCTGCCGTGCGCTTTCGTCACAATTTGCTGATTCACGGCATCGTAAGCCAATACACAGAACTGGAACCGCTGCGTGACGATAAACAGCCAGTCTTGGGGCTCTTGTGCGTCTCGAAACACCTCGAAAATAGCAATGCGGCCGTATAAATTGATATCGTGCTGGGGTTGGAGCCCCTCGGGCGTCAACAGGTGCACTTCAAAGCGCGTACTCTTGGCCAGCAGCAAGTTGGTGTCGTTGGCACCAGTGAACGCCGCAGTGAGCGAGTGCGTGACACTCGTGGGTTTCTGCGCAGTAGCTACATAGTTGTACGCCATGTTTCTTCCGTCCGAGCTTGATTGCGTAAGCTGTAGGAGCAACTCGTGCATGCAACTTGCGTCAAAAGGTAGTGAACAAATAGGCAAAGGATGTCAGTAGCAGCGCAGCGCGTACAGAGTGCTGGAGACGCGGCGAGGGCGCGGCGCAGAGGGGCGACGGACGACGCGAAGGCTGTTACTGGAATTCTCGTGTGCGAATCAAAATCTAAGCGTGGACCACATACGATCGCGCTTAGAAAGACGGTTTTGACAACATGGCTACAGTCGTGTTTCGGCCCAAGCAGTTTTTATTCTCCGCTAAAACTCAATAGAGCCGACAGTGATCTTGTCACGGTACGAGACGCCGTTGAAGCCTTCAATGAGGTGCTGGTAGTCACTCAAGCGTGTCAAGTGGTAGTGTGCCGTGTGGTTTGCAATGGCCTTGGCTTCAGGCATGTAGTGGCACACGTGCGTTCCGGCGCTTCTGTACCGTCAAAGCACGTAAATGTAAACTGCACGTCTATCAAGATACATGACATTCTGGTGTACGTACTTGGCGGCTTTTATCGTAGCCGCATGTCGAGTGAGCACTAGGACGTCCGATGGCTCCAGATCAAACTTCGTGCAAACGTGAAGAAGTGGCTCCGGGTCCGGAAACTTCGCTTGGTCTTCCTTGGATAAAAACATATCAAACTGACCCTCCATCTGACGTTTGCGTTGGCCACACATAAGTGTTAGAAGCACATCGACGAATCGCATGCAGCTACTGCTGCCAACAATCTGCGCGATCACCTCTTTCAGAAAGAACTTGTACTCGTCCTGCGCACAACAAACATCGTAGCACGAGTAACCGCACCATGCGCACATCAGCAAACTTGCGCTTCAATCATCACTCGTTCTTGTGCGTAGTACTGTGTTTTCAACACACGTACATGCTGCAGTGGATCTCTGGCTGGAATCACTACCTTGAGCAAACCTCGCAGGTCCGAGTAGCTCTACAAAATATCCACATTCAATTTCAGCACCACATATCAAGCGCATCATGCGACGATTACTTGATCGCATTGACCTCTCATCCCGTCATCGAAGAACGCACCAGCACTTCATTAGCTCCTGGATTCACGATCCACGTGGAGAGACCAGCCGACGTGATCGTCTCAACGCCATCCACCCGTCCTGTCGCAGTCACCCTTGGACCATCCTTTTGCCCCCGACTCGTCCTCGTCTTCTGCTTGAGTCGACTGATCTTGTCCAAGTACTTGTCTCTCACCGAGCTGGTCTCACAGTCAGTCTTGATCCCCCAACTATTGCTCCTCCTCGTCCGCTCGTCGCCATCCCGTATCCCACCTTTTTCCACGTTCTTCTGCCTCGCCACATCGTCCAGCGCCAGCTGCAACTGCTCATTCACAAGCGTATCACCACTGTGTGTACCTCCAGCAGCAACGTCCATGTCCCGCGAGCCCATCGCTCGCTCTAAAACTGCACCAGCACATCTCGTGAGCGTCCAGTCACGTTGCACGTACTCCACACACACACACACATCCATCGCACATTCACTCGGCAGTCCCTTCAGCGTGTTCTGAAGCCGCTCTTTGACCGCCCAGGGTTTGCCCGTCGCGTCCTTGTCCAGCCGCTTGAGCAGCTCTCGCACGTCACTCACAAGCAGCGACTGGACGGACGAAGCGCTAAACAGCGTCGATTCCCGCTGCTGGTCCGCTGCCATCGCGACCTTCCGGCGCTGCTGCTCTGCCTGTTCAGCCGCAGATTTGCCCAATAAGGTGCTGCACAGCACGTCGTACTCCACGACGACTGCCTTGAGCTGCTGCGCCGCGGCCTTGGCGAGCTTCATGGTATGGTCGACTTTCGACGAGCGAGTCCCTGCTAGATGCGTGTGGTGTACGCTACCGGTGACAACAAGGGCGTTAGACGGCGAGGGATCAACGGACAGTTCGGGAGCGCTTGAACGATGTACCTGCCTGAAGGATAGCGCAAATTGCTTCGCAATTGTCAAAGTGGCAGGTTCGCTAGCGCGAGTTTTCACTCGAAAAGTCAGTAGTTATGGCAAATGTTCGATCAGGACGCGGAAGTCATTCTGTTTTGGTGCTAGCGATACTATTACCAGAGCCGATGCGTTGTCGTGACGCCACACGAATGAAAGCTCAGTATTTGCCATCTGACGCTGCGAGACGCTCGTTGCTGGCCTTATACTGTAGCACGATACCGAAAACATCCAGCTGGCGAGGGGGCGAGTAGGGACACACATAACGGAACACCGCTGTTGCAACACGAATCCAATGTCTTACAACAACACCAACAACGACAACATCTACGACGACCGAAAGGACCCCACTGACGTGCGCCTTTGCTATACACGGCCGTGTTGTTTGCCGTCGTTCTGTGCTTTCGATGCTGTCCACACGTCAACACTTGAAACCACAGAGTTGAACGGACCTATTGCCGAAACAAAAGCTTTAGGCAACGCATACTGCACGACCGTTCGGTACGGCAGGAGGAAGTTCAACCGTCATGACATCTGCACTTGTCCTTCCGGTGGAGGGCTCGTCGTCCGATCACGTATGAACGGGGTACGTGCCGACCATCGGCGCGAGGGAATTCGCAGCTCAGCGAGCCGCGTCGAACATTCAAAACGACGGACGTCGTCGTCTCAAACGCGACTATCCAATGTACGCTCTGTCCATGTTGCAGTGAATAAGACTGCAGGCGTCGCGCTTGAGTCCAGACAAGACGAGCGTAACAGGGAATCGGAAGACGCGAACAGCTTGGTGAGCGCCATGTATTTCGAAAACAATGCCAGCGAAAGCGAGTCCCTTGTCCACATCGTCGTACCCTGCTCCATGGTCACGCTTTTTCTTCCAGTGCACACGTATGCGACCGGCGTCGTGGCGGAGACAATCGACAAGTTTCAGTCTGTCTGGTCTCGGACACTGCTCGATTCGACTGCAGTATTCGCAAGACTGACCTGGCTCCGCTCCTCTGCGATTTGAGGCAACGATGCGCCTAGGACTCAACCTCCTACCCCGCGATCTCAAAACGTCGTCAATGATCGAAACCTTCCGTCTCCCGTCGTAGCAGCAGTCGACGGCGCTCTTCGCGGTTCACTTGCCAGCAAAACGTGGCCGCGACTTTGTTCAGTCTCGAAAACCCAGTCGACCACAACCGCTGCGTCAAGTCGAAACCGCTGCACGACGTGGTGCATTGATGGCCATCGAACTCGTCAGTCCTCGTCGCTCGTCCCGGTCGTTCCGCAACAGCTTCAACTTGTATGGTTCAGATTCGAGCCCAAGCCCCAACATGTTTGACACAGCATCGACCGTCACTGCCAGTCCAGTCTACGCCGAGAGCGGCACGAGTCGAGTGGCGTTCTACCCCGCGCCATTGTCGCCAACGCCGCCCGCCCCGGAACACGCAATGGATCATCCATCCCGTCGGACGATAGCACTTCTCGTCAACTCCTTTGCTGCCGGTCTGTTCCACGGCATCGTGCCAGCGTTGGTGTACCCGCTGTTCAAAGTCCGTCTGGGACTCCAGAGCTATCAAGCCAATGCCGTGCAGACACTCTTGCATTGCGCATGGCATGGCAAACTCCTGCTCTGTCTCCTTACGGACTGCGTACCACTTTGCGGTCGAAGACGCACTCCATACCTCTACGTCGGATGGACAGTGGTGCTGGTCATCTTCGGAGTCGCGATGATGGGGCATCAAGGCCTGGCCATCGATGAACCTCGTGCTGCTGAAGCTCCGACGCTCGTCTTGGTGATCAGTGCTGCATCGGTGGGCTACTTACTGGTTGACGCGAGTTGTGATGGGATCATGGTGGAAACGGTTCAGCTGGATACCCAACGGGCGGAGCGGGGACAGCAAAAGACGTCGAGTCGACTCCCCAGCGCTGTGCACGCTGTGCGATTCGTTGCTGAGCTGTTCGGGACGCTCCTTATCGCATTTGGAATGAACGCAGAGGCGTACGGCGGCGAGTTCCCATTTGAACTATCGTTGCAGGCGCTGGTCAAGACATTGTTTGCCATTGCAGCAATAGCTTTGGGAACAACTGCGTGGGGTCTTCGGGAGCCTCGAACAGAAGTTGGGGACGCCATCAGCATCGACACATTGGCTGCACCAGTGCCGAATGTGCGAGCCAAACTCGGCGAGTTCTGGTCCGTCCTGCACCAACACGCAACGTGGAAGATCGCGTGCTTGGGGTTCCTGCAGAAGCTGTGTCTCGCTTTCGGCATGGACTCAGCTCCGCCGTCGCTGTCGATACACGAGTTCTGGTTGCACACGGATCCCTTCCTGAAGAACCTGTTCCTCGCACTTGCGAATGGCGGCGTGTGTGTCGCAGCGTCTCTCTTCGTGCACCAGTGTCTCCTGTCTTCGAGCTGGCACTCTTCGCTGCTGATTGCGCTACTCGGTGGGCTCATCGTTGGTATTCCAACTACTCTGCTTGTTGTGTTTGACGTCTGGCGCAGCAACGTCTTTTTCCTGATGGCTACGACTGTCACTGGGTTCTCGGACTGCATTGCCATGGTCGTGCGGATGCTCGTGGTCGTGGAAATCGCTGAGCCCGGTCTAGAAAGCAGCACTTATGGACTGGTCACGTCCGTCTACAATCTCGCAGACCCCGTGGCAACTGCAGTGAGCAACGCGATCGGAGCCCAGTTTCGAGTCTTTGACGTGGACGTGCAGCAGGACTCTGCCGACGTGCGGATACGACTTGGGGTGCTCTTCACGGTGCTCTTCAGCGTGCGAGCTCTAGTGGGTCTGGGCGTCCTGCGTTTGCTTCCCCGACAGAAACAAGATGCCCGCGAGCTGAAAGCTCGAGGAGCATCCAGTCGATGCATAGCGTTGACCGTGTTTGCCGTCATAGGGACCACCTTCTTCGCTGCGGTGGTTGCTAACGTGCTGTCAATACTCAGTAGCACCGCTTGTCTCCAAATTGCTGGCGGGGCGGGTTGTTGAGACGAGAGCAGTGTTTAGACCCGATGTACGTTGTCGGTCGTTTCCTGCTTGTTTGTTTGTTGGTTTGCCGCGATTATGAGGCGATCGAATTGGTTCCACCTCAGTGCTGGCTGACGGACTGACTGCTTGGCTCGGCATCTCGACGTACATGTGTAACCGTACTGCGTACTTTGTACGCGTCTGCAGCGCCGCAAAGGCAGCCAGTTAGTCAGTGCAGAACGAAGCAGATCTTTTGTTGACTTTCTGCAGACACTACACACGCACGAGGCGAAACTTCCGCTTCGAAACCACATCAGCTGCGCCTCATGAGCGATTCGACAAGACCTTCGAATTGCCTTGTGGTATTTCTTTGCCTCGTCGATGCAAGAGACGCGACTGAAGGGCAGGAGCTCTGTCAATTGTGCTGTGTGGGTGGGGGGAGCGTTCCGTTCAGACAGTGCGAAGAAGTCGACACTGCCCGTGTCAGCAGTGATCATTCTCGACTCGAACTCAGTCTCCGGACGGGATCTAGAATCTTCGCACGCACTAAGCTTCGAGGTAATCCACACACGTCTAGCAAGCGCTACCACACACGTACAGCAAGAAGTACCCCACACGTACAGCAAGTGATACCGCACGGTAGTTCTGCCGTGCGGTATCGCTTGTAGCGGACGTTGCAGCGATAATTGCGGAAGAAGTGTGGATGGGGATCGACGTAGCGCTTTCTTAATTACGTCTGGACTATGTTATGCTAGACGGGCCACTGCTGATACATGAATATTCCGTCGGTGATGTACATGAAAGTCCGTCGTAGCACCGGAATGGTCTTTCAGGCCGTGGTAAAGCAGCACTATCTTACGTGTCATTCGATCCAGCAAAGGGTGTTTACCCGCCTATTACGATCCATTGAGCTTCGTTCGGTTCTCGGGCAATAGACCTCTGAACGTGCGTTCGCGTACAAGTCAGATGACGCACGCAAGCACGTGCCATCAGCCTTAGTCGTATGTTAGCTGGGCCCAACAGCACGAACAATTTCGTACACCCCGACGCTAATCGATACATATTCCTCGAGCTTTGCAATCAGATCAATCAATGGCTAAGAACCGTTGATGCACACTCGCAACGTGTCGCGCCTCTCAGCACTTTCATTCAACAGTAGTCGTCCCTGTTTTACATTCTGTGTTTCCGCAACCTAGACCGTCTCGCCCTGAGCTACCGTCACATGATCAATCTCCGCAACGTCGACGTCTGCTTCCACTGTCTCTTTATCTGCTGGTCGCTCGGCGAACCGAAACCCGAGGTCAATGTCCTCCTCTCCACGTGAAATGTCGCCGAAAAAGCTCGCAATGAACTTGCCTTCGGGCGCCTCGACAGCTTTGCACAGCTCTCCGCGCTTTGTGTCGCCATAACGGTCCGATGTGCGCTCGTCCGTTACAAACTGAATCGCGTGAATCTCGCGACGGATCCGGAACAAGTAGACTTTGACAATGACCTCGTGCTCGTGCAGCACAAAGTGCTGTCGTCCCTTCTGCTCCCGTGGCTTCCCTGGAGCATAGCAGCCTTCCACTTTGACAATCAGTCCATCCGACATGTCAATCGCCACACTATGCATCTCAACGCCCGTCGCCAGTGGCTCATGACCCCATTTTTCCTTCGAGCTCACGCGTCCCGTGGACCTGAACATCACGAGTTTGTCGTCGTCGAGCCCGAAAACGAGCGAATCAGCGGTCGACCCATTGTCCGCGTCGTTTCCTTCTCCTGTTGCTTCTTCTTCGTCTTCTTCTTCGTGCTCGGAATCCGTGTCGCCAATTGCGTCCTCAAGAAAGAGGATCTCCGGTGTCCGGTCTTCCAGCAGCGCGGCGTGAATACTGTCTCGAGGTCTCCGACTGCCTTCGTCCAGCAGCGGCAACGTATCGTCAGGGAGCGACGACACGTCAGACGTCTCGAGCTCGTGGTCTGTCATTCCAACAACGCGTCTCTCGCTCGCTATGTCCCACTACGTCTCTCGCGGACTCACTGTCTGTCTGCCCAGAGTCAAATATGGAAATAGACTCAGAAGTGAGGAGCTACAGCGACACGCGACCCCGACCCCTTATCCAAAACAACGACTTATCCCGTATGTTTCAGCTCTCTCTCTCTCACATTTACTGGCTTGTGATTCGCTGAAATACAAACCGTATGCGTCGCAGGTGGTGTGTCCATGGTGTGGAGCACAGGAGCTACGATGATCGAAGCAGAGCTGGACGCCGGCAATCGGCCGCTCGTTGACGCTCTGTACGTGACGGCAGCGCTCGACAAACTGCGCGCGAAGGGTAAAACGCCTCAAGATGCAGTGACTGAGCTCCAGAATGCTCTAGTGGGTACTTGTGTGTGCTCTGCAGCAGTCAAACGACGCTCAGGACGCAAACGTTTTGAACTGACCACTGATTTGTGATGATATAGCGGGAGTTACACGCGTTACAACAGAAGTTTGTGGCTCAGCAGGCGAAGCAAAATTTGCTGGACCGTCTAGCACAGGTGGAGACGCTAGAGGCGCTGCAGGAGGCGGCGGCAGCAGTGAAGAAGGCGCAGGCAGAAGCTGGCTATGAGCTGGAAAAGCGGGAGCTGCAGGCTGCAGTGCGCGAGCGTATTGATGCTTTTCAGCTTGTAGAGAGGCTTACCGAAGAGGTGGAAAAGGAACAGCTGCAGGTCATTGAGCATGAACGCTCGCGAGGGGCGCACGAGAGTGAACTGACTCAGCTGAACGACGTGTGGAAGGAGATCCAGAAGCGTAACGCGCGTCGCAAGACGGCGGTGCAGGTGGCGACTGGGGTCATGATTACGGACGAAGACGATTGCAACCGTGTGTTGGACCAACAGACGCAGAGTATCAAGGAGATGCGTCAAAAACAGAAGTTGCTTGAGGTGTGGACGGACGCGGCAGCTTGTGTGTCGCGGCGACGGAGAGGAGCTAAACTTGAGATGCCGTGTTGGTGGACGATGTGCATAGGACCAGCGAATCGACGTGAGTACTCAGGTGAAGCGGACAAAGCGAGCGATTGCGAATATGGTGAAGCAGGTGCGCTGGGCTTGGAGGACTTGGAGGACTTGGTTGTTCTTGTATATTGGTAGCACGAAGGGTTACTCTTACGCAATCGATTGTGCTTAGAACGACATGAGAAGCAAAGACGCCGAAGTGAAGCAGCGAGAACAGGACTACATGGCGCTCCAGCACATGAAGAAATGGTATGCTGGCTCAATCGGTTGTAACGTGGTGAGCTGACTCTTCTCTATTTCGCCGCCTTTGTTTAGGTACGATCATGTCCGAGGCATTCAGGAATCGCTCTCTGGACTAGAGATCATGAAGGTTGCCGACGATTACTTGGAGGTGCGAGTGCTGAAGTCGCATCTGGTGCGACTCTTTTGCGATCCTGAAACCACTAGACTGCAGCGCGTTCAGGTAAGTCGCGCTTCTTCAGCCCATTATGTTCGACGGGTCAGTGTCGCTCACCTGTTTGCCTTTCATTCTGACTGTCGGTCTCAGTTTTTGGCCTCAGACGTGGATGCGGCTGACCTCACGGATATCGCCGTCCGCGAAAACGACGTTCGGTATATGTTGTGCGAATACCGCGAACGCGTCCGCGAGATCATGGCGCTATAAGCGATAGTAAATGGTATAGGGTGCGCATTCTACGTGGTAAAGAGACCTGTTTCGCTGCATACAAGGACATACTCGTGCGACTGACCTATGGTAGGATGACGAAAACACGTTTCCATCTCATTTTGGGAAGAGTTCATTTACCTGGGCTCCTGGAAGACCAGCGTCAAACAGCCGTTTGCGTGCGAGAGCGCGGTCGATTGTGAGCTGCAACTTTGCAGCCTCGATCTCGTATCGCAACCTGTCGCACTCGAGCTGATGGCGTTCTTCCTCCATGCAGAACCGCTTTTGCTCGCGCTCTTCACGCACCGCTTCCGCCACCATACGCTGTGTGCTCTCCAGTGCTGCTGGATGCACCCACGTCTCTGCCATCGCAGCAGCAGGAATAGCGGTACTCGGCGTGGTACAGTTTTCCAGGTCATTCAAAGCGGTTGCTACCGCCGTCGCAGTGGTAGCCTCTGGCATGGAAGCACTGTCAACTTGCCTTCTCTGCTGCTCGCCGTCCGCCACTGCATCCTTCGGCTGTCCCATCTTGTGCTCACTGTCTGCTCCAGCTGGTGTCCCTTTCCTTTTCCTTGTCGACACAGAATGGTTGCCATTGCGCTGCGCATTCGCTCGTCGATGTCGAACGCCAGTGCCCTCGTCCTGTCCAAACACTTCATTGAGCGTGTGGTAGTAGCGACACATGCGCAACACATGAGCCTCTGCAGGTCCTTGTGCCCCACCGACCACCACACCTTCATCATCGTCATCATCGTCATCCTTCTTGCCGACGCCCAGCTCCTCTTCACGCCCGTCATCATTGTTTCCCGCCTGCTCCTCCTCTGTCACGCGCTTGAACGTAAAGCGGTCGTACCTATTCTCCTTGAGCCAATTGCGCGCCGCGTCAAAGGACCGCTCGAGCTCACTGATCTGTGTGCGAATGTTGGCGTTCTCTCGGTGGTGGATGCCGTGCTGCTGCATCGCGCCCTTGATCTCAGAGCACAGCGCCTCGCGCGTTTCGCCCGTCTGGGACTTACCATCGCGCCATCGTCCGTAATTGCCTGGAGCCATGAGCCACTCCAGCAGAATGCCAATGGACGTTTTGCCCCCACGAGAGGTACTGTCGCTGTCCCAGAGCACGCGCTGGCGACGAGCGCCACTTGACGCGCTACTGGTTGCGCTGGAAGGCGGCAGCGGTAGCGGAAGCGGCGGCGTGGGCGAGGAGCTCATGATCGCGGGGACGCAACGACGCGGTGATGATTTGTTACCGAAATATATTGAGCTCTGTCTAGTACTGGTTTTGGGACTTTTGTGCATTTGTGGTACTGGTTTTGAGATTTACTCCTGATTTAAACGAGGGGGTTCAGTTGGTGTAATTTACATCAACACTTCGGACCAGATGGTTGTCGACAAGTGGCTTTCGCAATTGGGGTTCCACATGTGTACCACGGACACTGGTACACTCTTTTATCTGGCTGGATAAGACGGTGTCGTCGGCCCGTCTGACTGCAATAACGATTTGCGGTAGCTATCGAGTCGTTAGTAATGTTCAGATTAGGAGCTCGTGGCGATCCATCGGGTGGCGACCCGGTCTTCAAGTTGAAGTGGGAGGGCCAATCAGATCGAGCTGACGCATCTATGGCGCTCCGGCGGTTGTGTGCTGTGCTCTGAAGCCACGTTCCTCTGCAATCGCTCTACAGGGGCAGGGAATGTCAAGAAGTAAACGTCATTACTACAGAGATGCGCCTTGACATACGATAGAACCACATGCGACGTTACACTTCATATGTAGCTGCAATCAGTGCCTTCAACTTTGGGCAACTCTCTCAGATGCTGTGCCATGCGCTTTCGTATTTTTTGCTGAGGTAACACCTCTGCTCTTCGCGGCAGTGTATTTCCACGCCACAAACAAATGGATGGCACCACGGGAGCCAGCAGACTACTACAATAACGGATACGTGTTGCCAAAATTGACTAGTCGCATGAACGAACAGATCTCGATGTGTGGCGGCGCCAATGCTGTGCGCTATTACTGGAGAACTTGCTTGGTGAAACCAACCGTCATCCGGTAGAGGTAGGAGGCGCCCACAAAGCCAAGATTGCAGCCTGTCGACACCATTTCCAGACCCGTAGCCATATAGCCATTCGCGGATGCGTACTCATGCCACGATGTGAAGCATTCTGTAGCCACGACACTAATTTGGCGTGCTGCAACCTTCAACAGGAGCCACCACAGCTTCGACATCTACGTAAACAAACACAAGGCAGCAAACCATCACAAGACGCGCAAAAATATCGCGAGACAAACATCGACAACAGCGTGGATCACCTGGACAAAGTTGACACTGATGTCTACTGCCAGCTTTGTGTGTTCGGGGTAATACTTCTCCGCCACAAGTGCTGCGGCGACGAAGCACGCAACAGGCATCTGGCATTGACAACATCGTCGAGAAAAAATGAGCTTTCTGGCACCATCAATACCTCGCTACATTGGAGACATCATTCTTCTTACCGCCAAGCCAATAAACGGCAGTCCTGTTACAGTGACCGCCCCTGCCACAAACGGATGCTCTACAGCTTTTTGTCGCGTCCAGGTATACAAATCCACCACGTACGTCCTCAGCACAGCTACATGCTTTACCTCTTGGTCAATCTTCTCGCTCCTCCGTTGCCTGTCGTCGTGTATCGTATCTGCCAATTGCCGTGTACCCGCTCCTTTGACTTCTTCGTCCTCTACTTCGTCAATCGTTATGCGATCCCCGCGCTCGCTTGCTCGCACCTTCCGGCGTTCGTCGTCACCCAGCGACGTGAACAGCGCCTGTCCTGCTTCCAGCAGCTTTTGTGCAATGTCCAGCGACAGCTGCGACGCGAGAACGAGCTCGTCGTCCGTGATCGTACCGAGCGCATGGTCCATCGTCGTGCACATGCTCTCGGCGACTACCATCACGTTGCGCACGTTCTCTGCATCCGAGCGCGACACCACGAGCTTCGATGTCTCCCTACGCCCGCAGAACACAGCACTATCATCTCCAGACCCGTGCGCGGTCCGCTGGCGACCAGTCGTCCCACACGGCGCCTCGTGAGGAGCGTCCAGCAGCGCTGCCGACGACAGTTGCAGCGCCTCAAGGGCTCTGGCGTCCGCCTGCTTTACGCACGCGCACAGCTCGCGCATCTGCTCGTCGTCCTGCAGTATCGCGCCCACGTTCTGTCCCACCAGCCGCAGACTCTTCTGCATAGCAGTCACCGTGCGGGCCAAGTGATCCGTCACGTCTGCTACGTCCAGCGCCGCCGCTGCTCCGTGCGCGTCGGCACAGACCTTTGCCAACTGGTCCAAGACGCCCGCGTGCGTTGCGGCGCGCTCGCGCAGCTGCTGCTGGCGGCGCACGAGCTCAACGGCCGACGTCATAAGCGCTGCGCCCTGTAGTGTTGTGCACGCGACTGCTGGAGCGCCACACTATCGAGGGACTTGCTGTCTCGTCACTCTTCCGAGGGCGCGCTAAATCAGTACAATCTTTTCGCTTCTCTCTCGCGGCACTTGGCGAGCACAATGAAGAGGCGACCGCACGCGGCGCGCGCGCGGACAGCGATCGAGGCCGAAGTGCCGTCGACAGTGTATACAGTAGACCTGCACCGACTGAGTGCGCAGGCGCACCTGTCGACGGCGGAGCTCGTGCGTGGCCTGCAGCGGAGCGACGCGGTCGAGATGCAGGGCGTCGTGGTGAACCGCGGACAGGACGTGCCGTTTGAGGCCGTGGGCAGGACGCCAGCAGCCGCTTTGGATGCCGACAGTCTCTTGTACGACAGTGGCGTGCAGATGGAGGCGGCCGATGAGGGCGTCCAGCAAGTTTTGCTCACGGCAGCGTCCAGTACCATGTGCCTCGACGGGTCGCACACGCCCAAGTGTCTGCTTGTGCTCGGCGAGTATACGCTCCTGGAGCACATTCTCGCGCAGCTGTTTGTCGCAGGCATCCAGCGCGTGGTCGTGATCGTCTCGTACTATGGCGACGAGATCATGGCGCACGTGAAGGAGAGTTTCCTGTACGCGAAGCTGCAGATTGAGTTTCTCAATCTTGGCCAAGCGACGTCGTATGGCCACGCGCGGACGCTCTTGTCGGCACGTAACCTTTTTACACAGCCGTTTTTGATCCACACGGCCGACCACGTGTTTGATCGAGCGATCATCAGTCGCGTGGCCCGTTTCGACCTGGACGACTGCGTGGCGTGTGTGCTTGTGGACACGAACAAGAATGTCGTCAAGGGACTGCCGTTTACTGCTGGTAAGGTGCTGTTGGATTCGTCGAACGGGACGATTCGCGAGATTGGACGAGGACTGAAGCACTTTGATGCGATCGATGCGGGCTTGTTCTTAGCTACGACGAAACTGTTTGCCGCACTCGAGATGCTAGCATACGAGAAGCCACTGTTTTCTCTGGCAGAGGCGCTGAATGTACTGCGTCCGACGTATGGATTGAAATATGTGGAAACAAATGGGGATGCCTGGCTGAGTGTAGAGACTCAAGCACAGCTGGATGAGATTGTGGCTAATGGTAGCATTGCGTCGGTGTCGCCATGGCCTGTGCTTGTTGCCAAGGAGCCAGTAGAGAGGGCTTTGTCTTCGACCGAACCTGGCGGAAAAAGTGTCTTTCTGGCTGTTTCAGCTGCTGACGATGAATCCGTCTTGCGCGCGATAAACGTGCAGGTGTGTCAGTCGGCAGACGTGTTTGGCGGATTTGTTGTGGATGTGGACCAACTGCAGGAAGTTGGTGTCGCTGGCACGACAGCACCTGCCCGGGAGTCGGGCCAAGCGCACGAAAACACACCCCTGCTTGATCGTTCGACGCGAGCAACTTTGCAGCAAGACCGTAATGTAGCAGACACACACTTGACGCTGCAGCGCAAGCGAAGTTCTTTTCTAAAACAGGCAGAAAACTCGTTCGTGCTATCCATGCCGTACGACGAACCATCTGACGTCAGTGCTAGTATCGGCGCGTCACATGACGTGCACATGGTACCATCAGCTGTGGTCCAACACGCATATCTAATTGAGCTCCCGCAGGTCGCGACGACTGGAGAAAGACCTGGTGCTGTGCAAGAAACGTTGTTGCAGCAGTTTGTGCTTGCAGTGCCCAACAGCGATACGTTGTATGGGCGCCCTGGGTTATTACGCCGTTTGACGTCGCTGCCGTCCGATGTCAAAGACATTATGGTAGAAACGGTAGAGTTTCGCGATGGCACAATGGAATTGCGATTGCTCGTGAAGCGGCAGGTACCCATCGCTGGCTATATTCTGCTGCTCGCGTCTCTGGTGACAATTTCATCTTTGGGCACAGTCTTGGATCTGCAGCGTAACGTAAACCCGTTCATGAAATTTTTCTGGCGCTTGACTGCCTCCCTGGCCGTATTTATTCCTCTTGCTGGAGCTGCGCTGTATGACCAAGGCTTACCGCGATTTACGACGCAAAATATGATTTGCTTCCTGACGTGCTCGCTATCGTATGCGGTCTTTCTCACCACATTCCTATGGTCGCTGTCGCACACATCGATTGACCACGCTTATATATTCAATAACTGCCACTCGTTACTCATGATCGTGGGGCGCTTGCTGCTCGGGCGCTACGTATCGCAGTTTGAGGGTCTGGGTACTGCTATTGGTGTAATTGGCGGGGCGCTTACAACTTTGGATCACCAGCCGTCGTCTTCCACCGGTGTTGAAGTGGTGCAGGTATCGTTAACTGGTGATCTTGTAGCCCTTGTCGGTGCTGTGGGAGGCGCTCTTTACCTTCTAACCGTCAAGAAGTTGCGTACCGAGATCGACGTCAGCATTTTGTTTGCCGGCATGTTCTCTTTGCTCGCGCTACTGACATTCCCCGTCTTTTCACTGCTTGAAATCCCGTTCGAGGCGTCTCGAGATCCTGACATTGGCCTTTTCGGCTGGCTGCATCCGTCGCGTGCAGCATCGGAAACCTACATTGTGCTCGTTTGCACGCTTGTCGGTACGGTGGGCTACGTTGCCGTCATGAAGTACTTTGCTCCCATTGCCATATCTGTCGTGATGCTTGTGGAGCCTGTGCTGGCTGCTTTTATGGGCGTGGCAGTTACTACCGACGTTTTTCCCGGCCTGCTTACAATCGTGGGATCGTTGCTGATCGTCGCTGCGACGGCTCTCGTGGTCGTATCCAATTCGTCCCAGACCGAGACGGTCGACGCAACAGTGGCCATGTCGCTCACCTCAAGTGCTGCACACCGAAGTCTCAGCTCTACCAATTCTGGTGGCTTCAAGCTGCGACAGATGGCCACGCCGACGACAGATGTACGATATGTCGAGCCGAGCGTTGCGCTTAACACGCATGACAGGGGCTAGTTGCTACGAGGTCCTTTGATATCCCGTCGAAGTCAACAAGTGCTTAGCAGAAGTGGAAGACACGAATGCAAGTTTGACGAACGCGCGAGGAAGAATCAAGACATCGTTTGGGCAATATGGAAAGTCGGTGTAGAACTGACGCTCGTTCCGATGCAGAGCGCGGGTCTTGTAGTTTATCAAGATCCTGGAAATTGTGGCAACGGTGCCGATCCGTCTAAGAGCAGTAACACCTCCATTTAACTTGCGGAATGCTTGCAGTGTGGGACCGTCGACATGGACTGCAAATACCGAAACGAATGAACATCGTTGCACCATACAACATGTTTGACTGCCGCTGAGGAGATACTGAGTGTCTTTGTCTTTACGCGGCAACAACGACAAATGCACCGCCTTCGACTTATTTCTACCACACGCTGCTGTTGCCTTTTACGCTTTTTCCTCTTTCTTCTTGATCGGACCTGCAGATCAGTCTTGTTGGGGATAGTTAGCGCCGGTACGCAAATCTTACGTGCACCTTGCACTCCAAAGCGTTTGCTGACCAGCACCAAAAGTGAAGTGCTATGGTATTGAGGCGTGCATCGCAGATCGTGGACGATGTTGACCGCACAGTGATTCATTGCAGCTGACGTACGTATCTAGCGCGAAAGTGAGCGCGGTGGCGTTGCACAGTTACGACCCAAAGAACCCATTGAGCAGGGCTCAACAAAAGCAAGATCAGTTGTAGCTAGTTTGGCATGCGCCTCTGCTTCTGCAGCTGTACAGGGTGTCGATCAATCGGTTCGCTTCGTGCCCATTAGTTATCTCATATATAAGCAATTGGCCATGTTTGCTCTGAGGTCGACAATCGCGCACCAGCAACGAGTGATCGGTATGATGCGGTACACCGCAGATAGTCACGTTCGATGTACATCCTTCTTTCGTTCGTTGCAGCTCTATTCTATCGACACCTATGTAAATGCAAGGCATCGTCATGATTGCAGGATCGTAATTGTGATAACGAAAAGGTCACTACGTGGTGATGGTATCAAACATGGGTACAACATCGTTCCTCGTCTGATAGGAACGAACACATTGTTGCAACTAGACACTCAACACACGATAGTACCCCAAGCAATTTTTGTGGCCGTCAAAGACATAACACTGTGTAGGCATTTGAAGCCCGGCCGTGTGTTTACATGTATACCAGGTCTTGGCTATCGTAGAAGCAAGTCTGAGCTAGTATGTAGACCTGTTGCCATCGTCGCGAGGACAGTCAGTCTATCTGGTGTCTTGTTTACTTTGTCAAGTCGAATTGCGGCATTAGTACAGTGAACTTCAGTCGATGTGAAGAGGTGAGTGCGTGCATAACGATGAGAGTGGGAGCCTTCCTGCGAGGGCGTAGAGCATTCACAAACTCATGTATGGTATTGAGACGATCGAACGTGTTGATTGCAGCACTAAGTGGAACGACATGGTACGCGGTGATTGGAAATGGTCGAAGCGGTATCTGTGGACGTGATCTCGGATGGGATGAAGCCGAAGAGTGACGCGAAGCATAACTAGGTACACGATCATATCAAGGGAGACAGGACAGCAGAACGCGCTAGTAAGGTAGTGTGTCTGTCAAATTTGCAGGATCAAGAGAGAGCGGAAAGCTTCAGAAGTGCCAGGTGCATAGCCCATTTGGTAGTTTCTGGTTTCTTCATGAACCGCCATGCTCGGATCATGCACAAAGAGTCGTAAAGTAGTTGGGTTTGGATGCAATGCATCAAACCACAGCTGGATGACCGGGTCTTTCCGTGCTGGACAAGGAGATGTGCTACTTGACGTCACCACGAAGCGCAGACTGGAAAAGGTTCGTCAAATGAGCGTGGACAGCGGTGCACATGGTACTACAGATAAAGACTGATGGCTAAATGAGGCGGCAAACTTTTGTGAAGACCCGAGTTCAGTGGCTCAGTCATGTAGCAACACAGCGATCGATTACGACAAGAAATGACAGCACCCTCTGCGTCTAATGCTCTGGAACAACATGCAAGGGTGAGATTGTCTTTGTTTTCGATGACATGCTATATGTCACCGTCGAAACGATGCGACTGAAGGTTGTTGATGACATGATGACATCGACCTTGCGGTGAAGGGAGAGCGTAGCACGTAGACAATACTGAGAGTGTCGCATTGCACATTGATCGTCGCTTGCAGTTTTCTGCAGGTAAACCGACAGCCCATCCGACTGTCGAGAGGTACGGGGCGAGCGACATCGTTGTGAAACCTGTCATTCTATGGGCTTCGCACGAACATGCCGAAAGGCTATTCATTGATCGTAAACTGAAAGGTGCTGTCGAACGTGTGCTCTACTTGGTCTGTCTGCCGCGATCGTTTTTGTCCACGACAAACGAATGATCATTTGTTAGCTACCGAACGATTGAATCGATGCTTTGTTTCCCATGCACATGTCATTCCCAAGCTCGGAAGATGATCTTTTTTATTGACAGTGCATCACTGGAGGTCGTGACTGGAAATCTTACCACCGAAACAATGGCCCAGCAGACCTCAGTCAGCGATGAACTATACGTGACACGACCGTCTGTCACACATCAAGTCCAACGTCCTCTTTCTCGTCACGGTTGCATCATCTGTAGCAAAGATGTTTATGACAAGCGAGGCATCTACAGGTAGACCAAAAGCGGTGGCCCACTCTCATTCGATATTGACGACGATGAATTGTGTAGCGCCACTAATGACACTGACGACTGTGGACCTGCCAAGAATCTTGCTGCCGTGACAGCGTACGAAGTATCGTGTTGCACGTGCGCAGTAGTTGCAGTTTCTTTGCGGGGCCGAATCGGGGGGGGGGGGTGCTGGATTCTGGACTCGTGCTACTCATCGTCTGGAGAGGTTATACGTGCGAAACGTTTGGAGAGTGCCCGTCACGTTGCGAGCGTCGACGAGAAAAAACACGAGGCGGAATCGGACAGCGACTGCGCAACGAGCTGTGCACCAGCGGCTGGTCGATAACGTCTGAAATCGGGACGGCTCGTGTGAACGCGTTTGTGTACCGGTAACTCGAACACAGGAAGTCTGCGTGTCGTCTGAACCTGACAAACGTATAACAACAAAAGGTTGCGCGATTCTAGGCGTCTTAAAAGCCTGGCAAGGTATACTCACTCCGTTACGAGAACCGGTTGTCTTCGCTGCAACTGCGTCGACCGTGACGAACGTCGTCGGTCTGACTCGGCGTGTGCGCACGTGATCTTTGTGTTGTCGAGAGAAAATGTCGATGGCCACCGGAAAAGCCTGCGATGCTTTGTCATACGTGAGCTCGGCCGGGCACTTCAGGTAGGGGAGGCGCCTACAATTTGCGAAAAGTGAGAGAGTCCGTACCGACGCAAATAAGCTGGTGTACATGCCATGTCTAACATGACATGACTTCGCATACGCCACCATGCGGGATCGGCCATCTCTTTTGTTCCACATCAAACTTTCGCTGACGACACCAAGCATCCCGATGCTCAGGTGAAGTGTTCGCCCGTGACGGGGCAAAGCTGGAGATTGCTGTTGGTGCAATTGTAATGCACGACCTTGTTATTTGGATAAACGGCGAACACGATGTCACCGATACGCTTGCGGCACACAGGGCAGAGCGTGTTCGGATCCACCTGTACGCTCTGAGTGAGACGCTCTACGCGGTCGCATTGGATCTGCAAGTTGTAGACGTTTGACAACGACTTGGCAATGCTCACCTCACGCACGTTGTGTGCACTGTGTGGCAACGCCTGTGCAAAGAATTCACCCAGTTTTGACAACGGCGTGCTCGGTGGTACCATCTCCAGCACCGCGGCACTGTCCAGGCTTTTACCGTGGCGAGCAAGCAGTTGGAAGCCAAAGTCATGAAATGCTGCCTTTTTTGACTCGTCACGAGGAGCAAAGCAGATCTTGAGCAACTTCATCAAAGCTTCGTTGCGCTCCATGGCAGCTCCAATCTTCTGCTTCGCCAGTGCGGCCGATCCAGCCGACGGCGCACGCGCTCCGTACTTGACAGAGTAGCTCTCGGCACCGCGCAAATCGTTCAGCTCGTACACCAGCGACGTGATGGCTTCTTCGTGCAGCGCGCCTCGGCCACAAAGAATCACGAACTCGTTGTATAACGGCTTGCCCCTTATTTTCTCCACAAGCGGAGCGACGTCATAGCGTGAAGAGCCAGACTTGAGAAACTTCAGCAGTCTCTTGCGCGTGTCACCTAACGCGCCAGACTCTTTGCCTGGCTGGGATTTTGATGGCACCTCGCCTTTTGCTACAAGCCGAAGGGTCTCATCAAGATATTCCAGTGCCAAGCGAGTGTGGTGCGGATCGACAGCAATTGATACCACGCCACCACTTGGCACACGAGCGGGCTCGTCGTCGTCATCGTTATCACCAGCTAGAAAGTTACTGTAACTGTCATTCACACCCAGCTCTGCACTGCTTGGATCCACAACGGCAGAAAAGCCTCGATTACTACCCTTTCCACCGTTTCCGCTTCCGCTGTCACCCGCAGCAGCTGTCGCTCCTGCCACAATTGCGCCAGTTTCACCAGTAGCCTTGACAAGGGTTTCGAGATACCTTTGGACAATACCGGGGTCATCTGAATGCTCTCGCAAATGTGCTACCACGTCGTTCGAAGGCAGCGGTGGCCGACGATCCGTGAAAATACGCAAAGCGTGTTTAGCAGACGTTGCCTTGATGATCCAGATCGACTGCTTGAAGATGAACTCGCTTTCCGAATCAGGTACTGCCACCAAAACATCGATCGCCGCCTCGATTGGGGACTTTGGCGTGCCACTTGAACCACTCCGCTGCTTGTACTCGCCATGATGCAAGAGAGCGAATATCTCCAGAGCCTCGTCATACTTCTGGTGAGCGTACAGCAGCTGGCCAGCCTCATAGTATAGATTGTGCTTCACCAACAGCGCTTGACATGCTTCGAGTTCGAGAGCACAACCTCCAGGAGATCCCGGCGGACCTTCCACGTCTGGATTGGGCTCCTGGATGAGAAGAAGCAGTTCCTTGTACCTCTTGAAATGAACGTATAGGCGAAAAAGTGCAGTATCAATCGCTTCTACACGACGTGCGTCTTTAGGACTGCCTCCACTCGAAGCAGAGCCGCCTCTCGAAGATGACGCAGGAGTTGCACGAGCCCGGGCCTTGTCTCGCTGGTGTTTCTTGTATTGGTTCAAAAACTTGAGAAGAGCTTTCTGCGCGGCATTCACGAGATCCGCAGCGTCACTTTTGGCAATGTCGCTATCCAAAGGCGCGCGCGGCGATGAAAGCAGTTCTTGAACAACTGATGTGATATCCGGTGCCGAGCTGCTGCCGCGGGGAAGCACCTCGGGCTTGAAAACGGAAGGTTCGTAGGCAAAGGATGCGCACTGGAGATCAGGAAAAAACGCGATGAACTCACACGGCTCGATAGCAGCACGGTACATGTAGTCAACCGCAGTGTCAAACTCCAACCGCCGCAGCAGCGCCACTGCAGCCTGACGCTGGAAACGTTTAATCTTGCTGCGCTGCTTTTCACTTGATAACGACGCAATGGACATACGCACAAAGTTTTGGGCCTCGTCAATCTGTCCACGATCCAACAGCTCGCCAACCTGTTGATCCAGCGGCATGGGCTCGACCTTCATGACACTCGACGTGCCGTTGGAGTCCCTCACGCCGACCATCACGACATCTTCGCTATCGCCACTCGGTCTCGGCTCCATGTCCCACTTCATGCCGTTCGCAAACATGCACACTGCGCGCGCGATTGGCATCGTTTGCACCAAGACGCCGTCACTCGCACGATGGATCTCGACCCCCACTCGTGGCACCAGAGCGAGCAAGTAGAGCGACGAGAATTCCACTTGCTGCGGACTCTGCGACCACGTGATGGAGTTCTTGGGCACTGTGTCGCCCGTAAAGCCCACAAACACTCCAACTCGATCCATGACCGTGACGAGAATCTCCTCTTTCGGCAACAACTTGACCACGGGGAACACCGTTGCGTCTTGAATCCCTGGTACATTCACGGGCGTCACTTCCCCCGACTTGTCATTCAATAAACAATAACTTTTCCGAAACCCGACCACCACTTTGTTGCGGTACCAGCTCATGGCTTCCGGGACCTCTTGAGTACTAAAGTCCCGCAAAAACGAATACTTTTTGTCCGCGCTCGAGTACTGGTAAATCGCAATGGCTTTGCGCTTGAGTAAGGCCACGCCGAGCCGAAAGTGAGGTGGGCCACGCTGATTCACACACACCAACCGGACGTGGTGGGCATTGGCTTTGGCAAAGTCGACGTCGAGCGGCTTGAGGTCCGTCGCGCCGTGGGCCGACAGCTGTCCGTTCGAGACGGCAATGAGCATCCGGATGTGCGGCACCGCCAGCAGCTGCTCCACGCGCTTCCCGTGCGCGAACGCGTGCGAGGCCGTGGCCGTGGACGTGCCTTTGCGCGTGTCGTACATGACGAGGCGGCCGTCCTGCGCGCCCAGGACAACGCGCGACGAGTAGTGCGTCACGCACTCGACTTTGCCGTCAAAGCCCGTGACGACGGCCGTCGACTGGAAGGCCACGCGCTGCTCGGCGGCAGTGGGTGCGACAGCGGCGGACGGGGACGACATGACGACGCGCGCGGTGGAGGAGGAGATGGAAGTGGCTACAGGTGACGACGGACGTGAAGCGGACGAGGAGGAGCGTGTGATAGGACTGTAGAGCGGGCGGAAGTGAGCTGCTGGAGACTTAAGGGACTGTCTGTCGCAATTGGGGTGCGAGGATATGGATGATGCAAAGGAAGAGGATATCGAGTTGTGAAGGGAAAACGTGACGATTGCGCATGATTTGATACATATGAATATGATCACAACTCCGACCAACAAAGCTACATATGCCCTCGGTATGCGATGATGGATGGACCAATAGGAGATTGCCATTTAGAAATAAT